ATTATGTAAGAGTCATATGATATGAATTAATCTCGAAATGATGCAGTGCAGAAAGATTACTGTTTTTAGAATAGAGAAGGAAAATTAATTTTACGCTGCTAATTTAATCTTTTGCTTATTCCTTATTTTTCTTACATATATATATGTACATATATCATTCGATGGTTGTGAATCATGACTTTGGTTATTATCTTTCTATTCATTTTATTTTCAAAATTATATAAAGGTAGTTTAAAATTTTGTAAAGAGAATTTATACAAATATTTTGTAATATGTTTATAGATATTTTACGTGCATTAAGAAGGACAGGGGCTCCTAGGCTTCTAGATATTTTAAAATTTTTATTTATTCGCATTGAATTTTATTTAAAATTACTTTACATGCTTTCTCCGCCATTTAGTTCTGTACATTTCATCAGTGCTAATTATGTATACTTCTGCTGGTTTATGTTTTTTTATGAAAATTTGATTTACAGTTCTATTTTTGTGTATTGTTTTTTATAGGGATTCTGTATATGGATACCCGTTCTATGTACGGTTTCTATGTATGGATACTCCACTATGGTATAATTTGCTATTAGTTCTGTTTATGGGTTTTTGTTTACTGTTTTGTGCAGCGAGTTTTTCCAAGAGGTACCCTTTGTTGGTCTGTGGATTTTTGTGGTAGTGGTTTTTACAGTGATTTGGCCTTATGGGTGCCTGTATAGATGTACGTGTTTTTGTCTACTGGTTTTTACAAGGCATAGACCTACGGAATATCCATTTTTTTTAATGGAAATTTGGCCAATGGATATGCATATAAAGTTCTGATTTTTGGCTATGGCTTTTTACTGGGGTTTTGTTTATAGTGCCTACAATTCTACAGGTTTCTACAGAGATTTGGCCTACTCGTATCCGTACAGTTGTACGGGTTTCTGTTTACAGGTTTTTACGGGTATTTGGCCTATGGGTACCCGTACAACCGTACGGGTTTCTTTTTATGGGTTTTTACGGGTATTTGGCCTACGGGTACCCGTACAATCGTACGGGTTTCTTTCTATGGGATTTTACGGGGATTTGGCCTACGGGTACCCGTACAACCGTATGGGTTTCTTTTTATGGGTTTTTACGGGGATTTGGTCTGATACCCGTACAGTTTTAAAGGTTTACTTTGGGGACGTGATTGGCCTACGGGTACCCGCAGAACTGTACGGGTACCCGTAGGCCAATTCCCCGTAAAAAAATTTTATGGGTTTCTACGGGGCATTTTTAGCAGAGTTAATTTTATTTAATTCTGAATTATTATTTTAATGCTTTAATTTTGGGGAAAAACAGATAACCGCAATAACCTAGGTTCGAATCCTAGTCACGGCATCAATGTTCTATTTCTACTGTGGTATCTAAAGGAAAATACCGACGCAGAAACAGACAGGTGAGACCGTAACTGACTAAATACCTAGCAAACTGAAAGTAAACTCTTAAGAGCTAGTAAATTTGAATATTTCTAGTCATCGTACAAGTAGTAATAATTTGCGTTGTGTTAATATCATCCGGGACCATGCCGTGAGAGGATCGGATAACAAGAATATACAATATATATGTGTAAGGAAACTCATATTTAGAAATAAAGAAAAACATAAGAAATAGGTTTCCAGATTAAAATACAAGTTTATTCTATTCAGATTCCTCAACATTTAATATTAAATTTCACTTCCTAAGTAATCAATACTCAATTCCTTATTTTAGTTACACATGCGAACTAATCAATTTATATCATTTACACATTCAAATTAAGGATTTACAAATTTCATTTTCTTTCAACTAATATAATGAAATTAATCCCAGAATTCACTTTATGACCCATTTAATTTAACCTTAACCAGAACTACTGCTGTAAATTCTAGGATAGTATTACACATTTCTTTCTTCAGGTACATCTCTGAAATTCAACATCTATACTAAGGATAATTTCACAAAACAAACTATATTTTTATACCATAATTAAGTTATTAAGATTTTCCATTTTAGTCTCTGTAAAAGAAAGACAGGGAAAAGGGAGACACATTTCAGCGATTTAGAATTAATTTAGAGATTCAATATGAAGTATAAAGTCCTAAAGAAAGTTCTGGAATTTCCCTAAAGTTCATAGGAATAAATAAAACACAAGAAAAACTTATCTTTAGGTAGACATCTTGAAATGGAGGAGAATTCTATCTTAATTCTATCCTTACGACACCTGGCAAATCCACACCACAAGGACTCGAACGGCACTGCAAGAAATTGCATTACACTCAAGGAAAGTCAGCCATACCGTCTAAGGAAAATTGGAGTATTCGGAGTAGCAGTCCTGGTACATTCCCGTAAGAATATTTGCAGGCTAGGTACTCAAGAGAACGGCTGACGCAGGTTTTCATCCATCTACGATAACCAAATTCCTTCTCTCGGTTTCAAGTCGAAGTTCAGAGGACATCGTCCTGTCTTTGCATAGTTCATTCTCGCATTTTAGCGAAACACGCGGCCGGGGAGCATATTTGCCGCTCCCCGCCGGAAGCACATCTAAACAGCGAACTGTATGGGTCTTTTTGTTTCGCTTCACAACACCCCAAAGTTTAGAATCTGATTCTCAGTCAAAAAGTGATTCAAACTCGAACTTTCTTCGTCTCCTTCACAACACGGGCTCCCATAATGGCTTTAGTTATCGTCCCCTTATTTGGGCCTAAAATTTGCGTTTCTACCCTGAATGACAGAAATAAGGGGGATCACACATGCGCTCTCTCTTTACTTAGCCAACGACCGGACACCCCGATCGCCAAACAAAATGACTTACTTCGCAGGTGAAGTGGCAACCTCTGACCTTTCCGTCACGTACATCCTGTCAAAACGTCAATTGTACAAAAGAAATTTGTTCTCGAACTTTCTAAAGACAAAAATAACCCGCGAAAATCATGACTTAGCAAATTCGCCTCCCTTCCGGAATCCAAGCTTGGACAAAAATTCTAAATAAAAGGAAAATAAATAATATTCTTAGAAGCATCTGTTTTTCCCCCAAAATTAAAGCATTAAAATAATAATTCAGAATTAAATAAAATTTTCTTAAATCAGAAAAATAATTCACCTGATTTTTTATAACACGATCAAACAATTATCTACACAACAGTAGAATATAGATATGCAATTAGTAGAGTACAAGCAAGATGTTTGGATATAAATAGAGCTAGTGTAATCCTCGATGCAATATCCCGTTTCAAGGCTAAAGACCTCTTTGTGATAATGCTCTTTTAGGCAGTTAAAGTTTCGCATCCGATATTTACAGAAGAAATTCCAGTTCTTTACCAAAATGACTTTCAAAGAGGGCAACTTTATCTAGACAAAGGCATGTCTAGATGTTTGTATTAGGTTTCACCTTATTAATATTGTGCATTTGATCGGTTGGAAAGATGTAGAGAAGTTGGGTATTTTTTTAAAGCAGTTAGCAATGCCTTTGCTGGGACTCGAACCACGGACCTCTCAAATACACGTCGAGCGTGCTGACCACTACACCACGAAGGCATGCTATGAAGGCGGAAGAATTACCTTATAAAATACCTTTCCAAACGCAAATCCACAACGATTGATGGACTCCGGAACGTAGTGAAAGAGGAATAGAAATCAATATTCTTGCAAATTTTACGAAAAGCCTTATGGCATGGAAATCATGATGCATACGTATAGTCCAGAAAAAAAGATTAGTACATCGAACATTTAAAAAAATTTTCTTTACAATTTAAACATTAGCTAAGCAACACCGCAATTGTTCTAAAATGTGTAAATAGCTTCTGTAGTTGTAAAATTCCAGCAATTTCTTTACTTACAAATAAGACGAATCAGTGTATATGGAAGTTAAAATGGATTCTGCTTTCCTTTCTTTGAACAAATTTCCTTCTAATATAAGTTCCACGAATAAATTTTCTTCCATTAGGTTTATAGATGAGAAGCGCTTCATTCACGTCCCGAAATGTTTATAAATTAATTCCATAGAAGACGAATGTAATCAACTAGCAAGGTACTAATGAATCTGCCGCATCTAAACAGAAGTAACGCATATAGCAATGTATAAAGGAGTGTATAAAAGGACAATACATTATGATTATTTGACAATTAAATTATTGATTATTAGATTGTTTGGCGTCTTATTGATCATAGCTTGCTATTTTGATCAGCATGATCCTCAGACTGAGAATCATCTGTGCAAATAGGATTCTATTGATTATTTGAACAAATGGAATCAACGGTTAAATCCAAAACTGTTCGAAATTTTTTGTTTGTTTGGTTTTTAGATTAATCATGACATTATGAAAATTTGAAGAATTTCTATGTTTTAAAAAAAAAGTCTTCCGAACAAAACCTTAGAACATTTATTTTAAGTTTTCCTAACAATTAAGTTAAACGCTTCCCTAGCTTCCCCTTAATTTACGTTACATACATTTAACCAGACTAGAAGGATATACAAATGTTAAGAACTTATAAAAGGTTAAGACTAGTGAATTTTAATTAGTGCCCGGGACAGTTCGCACCGAAGCTAGTCCAGGGTCTGAGGATCTTTCGAATCCACGAAGGTAAATGGTACCCTTCTAAAGTTCGTTAGATAACGATTGAATCCAGGTGTCTCCTTTTAAGGAATTTGATTTTGATATTTATATATTTCAAGACAGATTGCCTGCTTTGTATATTGGAAAAATATTGATATTTTTCATCTTTTATTCTTTACCTTTTGTTGTAAAACCCAAAGTGTGGTTTGAATGAGGTCTGAATGGAATTAATTATTAAGTTTCACTTTACTCATGGATACTGTAAAGGCCCGTGAAGTAAAATAAGATGTTGAAATATTTTTGTCGCTGATGTTTGCTGAAGTAGCTCGTAGTGCTGCATAACCCATTTGCTGGCTAGTAACTGCTGTGATTTATTTCGAAAAATAAATTACGCGTGACTATTGGGATGGATCCTATATGAAAACATTAAAAAAATGACTATTACTTTTTCTAGCTCCACAGCAGTCTACTGGAGATTCGCGAATCTCATGCAAAACTCCGAGGAATGTACGATCGTATGAAGAAAGAACGAGAAATTCTTCTAAAAGAGAGAGAAGAATGGAGAATAAGACTTCAGGTAGCCATGCAAATGCATTCCAAGATCAATGAAATCGTGCAAGACGTGAGTATTAATCACTTTTCTCCATAACGTTCTTAATCTTTAATATTACTAAGCAAATTTTTATTTGTAGATCATAAGTACACTACAAATAGAAACAAAATTTAAAGGTTTCATATTTTTTTAACGGTCGCCCAGAATGATCTGCTAAGGTTCACTGCACTCTCGCTGCGCTTGCAGTCTACCAGCTTGCTGTTTCACTCCTACTAACCCCCCCCCTTTTTTTTTTTTTTTTTTTTTTGTCTTCTTAGCTCCATTATTAAGCATCATTTTCTTCGCTCTTACGCCGTATACAATTCAACAGCAAAGTTACAAAAATTTTAAAAACAATATAGCAGTATACGTTTAGAATTCCGGATCCAGCATTAAATAATGGCAAACATTTTTTATTTTTTCCTCGGTTCATCGTATCAATGTTCAGTTTTCTTACAAAGATGGCTTATCCTTTTATTATTAATGTTCTGTGTTTTTACTTTATTTATTAAATATCCCGTTCTCGGCCCTTACGCTACATAAAATCCGTTTCAAAGGCAAAATCACAAAATATTTAAAAACAGTATATCTTTGAAATTTCTGGTAGACAGTCTAGTGCGCTGGAGAGATTTTTTCCATACTGTGTAGCCACTGCTTGCTTTCAAATCGTTCAGTTTGTTGATAAAAAATCATCAACGTTTTGTTGTTGTTGTCTTATTCCACATGCCACTAGATCCTGCGGAATAAGACAGGTAGGTAATAAGATAGGTCTTTTGCCCCTGTTCATATGAGAGACACCTGATATGTCGACTTGTGAGCCTGATTATTGGTGGACTGAATATCTCTATCAGTCTTAACGGCAAGGGCGCCACCTGGAGCCTGCCTTTTATACCAATGGTGAATCGGAGGTATTTTCCATAGCTGCTGATTTGAGATTTCTGTCTCGGAGCAGATCTTGGAGAAGCTCAAGGAGAGTTTTGAAATTGACGCGTCAGAGGCTCGCTGCTTGGGCAAAAGGTCTGTAGTTTCATTGCAAAAAAGATCAATGTGAGAAGGGATCCACTGAAAGTAGATTTCGCGCTGTTGAGAAAGTTGTTTAAGAATATTAAGTATTGAAATAGCTGCTTTTTCTCCACGCCTTGTTCCGGTTACATATGGGCTGCATAACGCTATGACTGTCTGATAAGTTCCATGCATTTGCGGTTGATTTTACAAATTTAATAGTTTTGAGTGCTGCATCAATAGCTATTCGCTCAGATCTAAAAGAAGAGTAGAAATCTGGATTCTTAATCCTAAATCTAAATGATTAGTCAGGCGCCTTGATGAAGATTCCATTACCACAATAGCTACGATCATTTTATTGCCATCACTATATACGAGGGCTATTTTTTTCAACCTCCGTAGGCTATAAAGAAAAGACGGGTGAATATACAAAAAAAGATTTTATTACCAAAAGTAATGTACAATACAGGTTATTTCTCTACATAATCACCTTGACGATTGAGCCATTTGTCATATCTGTGAACAAGCCTTGCATACCCTCTTCATAAAATGTCCCCGCCAATGATTGGAAGTGAGTTGTGACGGTTTTCTTTCAGCTCCACGTCATTTTGGAAGCGCTTCCCGCCAAGCCACTGCTTCAGTTCAGGGAACAAATGAAAGTCACTCGGCGCTAGGTCGGGACTATATGGTGGATGTTCGAAAATATCCCACTGAAATTGCTGAAAGAGCCGTTGGGTTACACGAGCGCTGTGAGGACGAGCATTGTCGTGGATCAGAACAATTCCAGAAGTCAGCAAGCCTCTTCGTTTGTTTTGAATAGCTCTCCGTAAGCGTCGCAAAGTTGCACTATATGAATCTGCATTAATTGTTGTTCCAGGCTGCATAAACGCCACAAGCAACACACCTTTTCGGACCCAAAAATCAGTTGCCATAACATTACGGTTGTTAAAGGTTCGTTTGAATTTTGTGGGTCTCTCTGGAGAATTCGTGTGCATCTACAGTTGTGATTGTCGTTTCGTTTCGGGCGTGTCATATTGAACCCATATCTCATCACCTGTCACAATGAATTTCAAAAACTCTTCTTCGTCAGCATTGTAACGGTCATGAAACTCAAACGCTGCAACCATTCGGCGAGTTTTGTGGTCGTCAGTCAACATCTGTGGGACCCAGCGAGCGCAAACTTTTCTGTAGCGCAACTGTTCAGTAACGATAGAGTATATGGAAGATCTTGAAACTTCCGGGAATTTCATCGATAATTCACTTATGGTGAACCTTCGATTTCGCTTAACCGCTTGGTCAACTCGTTGAACAATGTCGTCTGTAGCGACAGACTTGCGTCCTTGACCCCCTTCATCATGCACATCAGTTCGGTCATCTTTAAACTTTCGACACCATTCACAAACAACGCGATCAGTCATAAAGCTGTTTCCATACGCTCGACTCATTCTTCGATGAATTTCCGCTCCTATGTTCCCTTCTGCTTGCAAGAAACGAATAACAGCTCGCAATTCACGCTTGGCGGGAGAATCAATGGCGACAACCATGTTTACGTGACTGCAACTCAACAGAAAATGGCGTGTTGAATACGCCAGTGACAGAGCGTGTGGAGGTGGAGATGCGCAGTCGCCTACTACGCACACCAACCACCTACCGCATACCTGGCCATGATACAGTGCAATCGGAGGCTGAAAAAAAAAAAAAAAAAAACAACCTACGTATTTGAATACAGTTGCTGGGATTTGGTCAATGACCTCCGAAGCAAATTGAAATACATATTCAGGCAAGTTCCGAGTTAGGCTGAAAATGTACTCCAGACAAACCCTCCAGGGGGTTAAAGAAAGCTCTCAAGAAGTGTCTTTCAGCATCTTAATTCAACTCGTCCATCAAACGAATTCGAGACAAAGAACTGTCTCTCGAATCTCTGTCTGCTAGTCCAATTGCTGAGATAAATTGCAGCACAATTTTGGACTCAAAACCTGTAAAGCTTATTAAAATACTTCGCAAATAACTTGTTTGTTCTCAATTTTAAAGGCTGAATATCGCTTTCAAATAATACCAAATCTGTGATACGAAAATGTCTCTTGCCAGTGATAATACAAGCAGCAGTTTATTTCACTCATTCCAATTTTGTTAGTAGGTCATGCACAAAAGTAAATTTGGAAACCATATTCCAAAAGAGGTCTGGTCAGAGAGGTAGAAGTTAATCTGAAAATGTTTGCATCTGCACCCCAGTCTCTTTAATATATTTCAGTAAGTCCAAGTTTTTTCTGGTTTTACTCACCAGATAATCTATATGCTTGTTACTCAGGATTTCATGGTCAAATTCGTTGAAGTTTTATAAAATATGAGATAGATAATAAAACAAATTCAAAATTCGTGCGTCCAGATGCATATGTTCGTGTGGAGGACTATGTTATTCAAAACTGGTTAGCTCTAACTACTGATGTTTTTCCATAATGCGAGAAACATGCATACATTCATGCAGATTCTTCGTGATTTAATTTCCTTAAAGATCCTACAGGGCTCTAATATTTGGTGACAACAAACGTGATATCACCCAGACGATATACTGGTTACGGGAACCTATTGAGGTACCTAAGAGTCCGGTTTCGAATCCCGGGGAAGACATAGATGTTTGTAAATGTATAGTGTCGGTGCGGCATGGCTGCACTATAAATATGTGGCGAGCCGAAAGACCTCTCGTGTGGATTGGAGGAAGGGGAGAGGAATGGGAGAGCCCTGGATACCCCGGGGTGCTCTCCTTCAAAACTGCAGGTGAAAAATAGAAATCCAACCTCTCTTCGGAGTACTCTCTGGCAACCATTGTTCCATGTAATATGGACAAGACAACAACAACAAAAGTGATTCGCCATTTATAGTGATTCAAAGGAAAATGCCGTTTCGAGACTAATATCCCATTCAGGACTGACGTCCCTTTTCAGCTGACAATCAATATTTGATTAGCTTTGTGAAAAGAATTTCGTCACTTTGTGCTACTTTGTTAGGCCGATGCGTTTTACCAGACGCTCTGTACTCTGTAATACAAACTTCGCTCAGGAGATTGTTCCAAATCTATTTGTGTATTGTGGACGATATCCAGCTATGCTTTTCCCCATTCAGCAGATGCTAATTCTCTGTACTTGCCGCAAATGGGAATCTTGCAGTCACAAATGGGAATCTACAGCCTTCGTACCGCAATCCCATTCGAATGGTTATTCTATTTTCACGATTTTTATTTTTGCAACGCATTGCTTATCCTTTTTTCAAATAAAGCACCCTACTGTGCTTATTAACGCACACCAATTTCATTCCAGAACTATGAAAATAATCCACTGCTTGCTGTTCTGTGGAAAAGAGGACCCAAATCGGATAGTTTGGTTCGGTTTTTTTTTTATTACTGGAAGAGCCCTCAAGGGCTATTTACAGGTAAAGGAGGATACCTTCGTGTAGGACTTTGTAGGGGTTGCACGTTACATACGAAGAAAAGCCCATGTAGCCAATCTGTTCGCCGGGTTTCGAGCCCTGGAGGAACTGCCAGTGGTCAGCGACTTGACGGCTCGACCACTGGTCACGGACTTGTATTTGAATAATGTGCTTCAAAATACTAGAAATAAATGCAGAAATAACAGTTAATTTCTATCATTGTTCATAAAAACGAAAAAGGACTGAAAAATCATTCGTGTTACATGAGACGAAAGAGCAGATTTTATAAGTGTGCTTACCCAACAAAGGGAAAGTGATGCGCTACACATTGATAATTCGACCTGAGTTTGATTCCAGGCAAATGAATTAGCTGCATGGGCGTTGTCGTGATTTTCTCGTGTGTAATGTGTTGCAGCGGCAGCACCAAACAGGCGATACAAACTCAAAAACTCTAGAGTCTAAAGAAAACCGCCAACTGCCGAAACGGTGGAGGTAGGAAATAAGATGAAGTAGCCCTAAACAAGTTTCTCCCGTATCCTGCTCTGAAGCACCGGTGATCCCTACGTGGTGACCAAAACATTCGGTCATTTACCATTCAGTTCAATGAGATTTGACGCATTTGGATGTAAATATTTTGTAATTACGTCGTAAATATACATATAAATGTATATATTTTCTTTTTCTACAACACTTCAGAGTCCTAAGTATATGAAAACAACATATTTTTAATTAACATTTCATTCTGAACGGAATTAAATGCTATACTTTTCATAGGACAGTTTTCTCAGAATGGTTTAATTTGAATGAAATATTTTCACAAGTTATCGTTAATTACATTAGAAAAAAAAATGAAGGAATTCGATTTTATTCGGTTAAGGTGCAAAAATTAAGATCAAAGTTTATTGTATTATTAATATTAAAATTGTGCATTATTTCTTTTCTATTTATAGAGCTTCTTCCTAAAATATTTTCTTAAATATGACATGATTTTTTGACTTCTGAGGCATCTTTTAAATCGAAAAATGTCAATTTATAATTAATGCTCTATTCGGTTCATTTTAAATTAGAGAATTATTAGGAATTGGCGAAATACTTTAAATAGTACTTGACTTTCTCTGAACATTTCTAAAAGAAAACAAAATAAGGGTTTTTTTTTAGTCCAAAGGGATTTGAATCCCGAAGGACTATTAGTTTCGTTTTGGCATTTTGCGTCGGACGGATAAATGTCGGTTCACTTTTCAAACTGTTGCCACAAAATGTTAGAGTCCTGCATTATATTTGAAGAAGAAAAATAATGAAAATCTGCGTAAATGTATGTATATTTCTCACATTGTCATAAAATAACGGTACATAGAGTCATCGAATTTTGAATAACGTAATCCTCCAACGAATATGAGCATGTGGAAGACCAAATTTGAAATTTGAAATTTGTTTTATGATCGATTTCCTATTTTTTAAAACTTTGACGAATTTTTGATTAACAAACTCAAGGATTTCAAAGCGAGCAATGGCAACGTTGTGCAGAAAAAACATTTTTATCTCCAGCGCGTGAGTCTCTGTATCGGAAATTCTAAAGATATGCTCGTTTTAAAACTATTTTGCGATATTGCTGTTGCACTGGATCTTATGGTTTAAGTGCGAGGAACATGATATTTAATAAAGAAAGGTAACACACAAAATGTTAAAAAAAACGCCCCTTTGGACGTAATTTAAAATCTGAAACATTTCAGATTTTTTTTTTTTTTTTTTTTTTTTTTTTTTTTTTTTAATAAAATGTAACTGAGTTATTATAAAATGTAAGGGGAATAATTCTTTTAATTATACTTATCAGATTTTTTTTACCCTTCATTTCAACAATACATATTGCAAAACTCTTTATTACATTCTTAAGTGCGCATCTCATAGCATTTGCTTTACAATACCTTTTAACAGATTGCTTTCCAATACGAACAATTCTTGCTTAAATAGTTTTATAACGTATTTGTTAAGATGATTTCAATTTATGTTTACAATTCAATATTAAGATTATTATATATTTAGATAACATTTATAATCATTATAAATTAGATACATTTAATAATTAGATTTCTTTACAGTACTTTCACAGTTGTTTATAAGTAAATAAATTCTTCATTTCAAATACATTTATAAATAATTTAATGACCTGCGTACATTAAGAAGCCAGCATTATAAAACTCGAATTTCGAGAGAAAAAAAAAACTTGCGTGGGAAACATTTAACAATCTGGAATCAATAAGAGGACCATTCATGATCAGACCTCCTTTGGCAGGATATACAAATGTTTCACCCCCGTCGATTACCCTATTTTCAAATTCTTAATAAGCTGTCTTGATGATGTAGCATGTTCACATGGTCACATCATCTTGACCGCACATGGTACTTCCGCCAAATTCGCAAATGTATCCCTCTTCTGTTCCACACATTTGTGTAAAACTGTGCATAATTTTACACAAATGTGTGGTTCCAAATCAAGGAATAGCTAACTTATTGGCATATCTGTGTGTATATTTATTAATTTTGACGAGGATTGCAGCATTTGATGGTAATTTTATTTTTAATTAACCCAAATAAGTAAAACGTGTAAGCCCAAAGTGATTATTTTTCAGATATATAAAATTAAAACGATGAGTTTAAAATGAGCAGCAGTAAAGCCTCTTCTCTAAAAAATTTTAAAAGGTACATGTTAAATAATATATGGATGTAAAAAAAAAAATTGTTTTATTTAAAACATTTTGGCGTTTGGAAGATAAAATAAAAGTAGCGAATACTCTATCAAGGGTATCGAAAGACGTATACAATTTTAAATGTACCGTAAGGTATCCTTCATTCTTTAAGCATAACATTTTCCTTAAAATCTATATTTTTGTAATTCAACAGCTTGGAATTTTATAAAACAAATTTATAATCGAAATTGCTGTTGTTAGTTATCGAAAAATAACCAAGATGTGATTTTTGCGTAAATGTCACTAAACTATACAAATTGCTATTATCCATCACACTATGAATGTTTCTTTCATGCGAAAGTGTCCCTTTTTCGATTTGTATGGAATTGTCGTGTGTCGAAATACTATTAGAACCCTGTCAAGCGAGTTTCTGAATGTAAACGAAGAACACAGCATCTGGTGACCCAAGCTTTAAAGCTGTGCTTCACTTCTAGCGCCGGTTGGCCCCTCCTTCCTTTCCTACCTCCATGGCCGAAACAGTAAACAAAGACAGTAAAACCTGTAAGGCAACCTTACGTTCTCACCAGGAGAGAGAAGTTTTTTTCCGGCAGTCTAGTCTATGTGCAGTCTTCAATCTCTGTAACTAAGTCAGTTTTGTGCCTTCAGGCAAATATTCCGGTTAAAAGGCACAAGATAAATAATTCGGTAATTTTCCGATAAAACTTCGGTACCCGTGTTGGGAGCGCGCTCTTTCTTAAGCCATTATAATGTATCTAAGTTACTTATTAAATTTCATTATTAGTTGTATATGCCTATGTCAATTACGATTGCTATTTTTTCTAGGTAACGTTATCAATACTTTTGTAGGCACGTGTTACTAGCGCGTTCCTCAGTGTATATGAGTGAGTTTGTCTTAGAAAGTCCACCACGAAGTTATCCCTTCCCTTAGATAGGTAGCCTTCGTGGACTTTGCAGTAATCAAATAGCAGACGTAAAACTATGTGTGTTGTGACGTCATTTTTATCCATACTTGGCGCTAAATCGCGTTGCTTGGCGACAGTTTTCCGTTCGGTAGAATAATACACAAGTACCATTTTTGTATCTGTAGATAATTGTTTAATGATAGATTATATTGATACATATTATCATGCATTATTATTATTGAATGAATCAAATTATTATTGAGAATATTATATTTAAATAGTTTTTGTTATATTTGTTAGCAATATTATTTCATTATTACTTAGCATGTTCTTTTCCATTTTAGGTCGAGAAAGTAAGTGCTGAGGTTTCTTCGCATTCAGAGAAACCTACTTTACCCATGAGTCCGGAGTTTAAAGAAACTATTCAAAAGGTATCTGTTTTTTACAGGTGCTGATTAAATTATTATTATTGTTGATTTAATGGTTCAAAACTAATCAATATTTTTTTATGAATACAAGATTGTATTAATGATTTTATAGTCCATACGAAATTGTTGTCACAACAGCATTACTCTCGCAGGTAGACCGATGAAAAGTATGTATTTTCGCATATAGCTAGCCCACAAATTTCGCGAATTACTTGATGAATTTAGTGTTTCTGTTTAGCTACTACTGGCGAAATGTTTGCAGTAATCGCGAGAGCTAATCAATTGATCGCATTGCAAAGTAGTTCGAATATCAGAATCTGTCGCACAGGAGCTCTTTTGCAAATTTTGTGTTTTAGCTAATACTGAAGCTTTTAGCGTTTGTTTTCAGAACGGTGATTCCGTGTGAAAATATGTCAAAATATAGTTTCTTAAGACATAAGTTAAGCTACTTAAATTTGGCAAAACATTCGAGGGCTTCTTTCAAAGGGGTCGAAAGCTTTGGTGCAATTCCTCTTAAAGGAGCCTAGCTCGTATTCATTTTAGCCCATTGTTATAACAAAAAGAGCAATGTCTTGAATTTAAAAGAAATAAAAAATTTTAACTAAAATTTTTAATTTCAATAAAGACAATTTTTAAGTATGAAAGCTTGTGAAGGCTTATTTATTTTTATATAACCAGTTATTTTATGTTAAATCTTTCACAGCGAAGTCGCCCGAAACACCCGTGCATTCAGGCATCGGCAAATCGCCCGAACGCCTGCGTGCCTTTTCTACCCGGTGCGTTTCCCAATCGCATTAGCGCATGACGGATTGATTTCGAGAGTTTTTAAATGACATTCAGTCATTCTTCGGAAGCGACTAAGAGTAGCTCTCTCATTTGAATGCAGCTTCCCTCTCCTTTGCTTAGCTATTGATGCTCACAATCGTAATCTTGTCCTAAGGGGAAACTACACACGGTAGGTAAAACCGCACACAGATCCCCAAGAGAGATGTGATCGCTTCACTTAAATAGGTTATTGTTAGAACTGTAGCATTCTACTTCGTACGGGAAAAGAAATCCTTCCAACAAAAATTCGTTGTATGCTGAAGTTTCAGATGTTTGAGAGGAACATATTTTGGCCGCTAACGATGCAAAAAAGTAAAAAAACTTTTCTGCCATTCTCGCTTTCCATTTCCTGCCAGAATGTTAATTTTAGTTCATACTTATTCAAATGAAGTAGAAAGAGACATTACTTAAAAGAAAGGTTTCAGATTGTCTAATCAGAGCGTGTTCCGCCTGTTGAAAGTGACGTTACCAGTTGAAGTTCTAGTATAGCAATATGTTTTCGGGGTTGCGTTATTCTTGCCAGTAGTGCTTGTCCCACCGGTATAAGTTTGAGATGACTTGCACGTCATTCATTGCTATGTAGCTTTTAACCTACAGCTTAGTTTTAATTAGAAATCTGTACTTTTTTGAGTTACGCGATAAATGCTGGCTGTTTGTAATCATGAGAAGTGACATCAGTTAAATTACTTTGAGTTCTGAGTAAAAGGGTCCTTTATACCCTTTTCAAGTTCTGTTCTTTTCAAGTTCATTGCGAAAAGTCGGTTACACGTCTAATTAAGAATTTCCCACAATTACGCTTAGGCCTAATCTCTACAAACTATACATAAATAATATATCCGAACGACCCTATTCTCACCTAGTTCGGATAATCAAGGCTTCGTAGTTTCATGCCAAAAGAGCTATACAAATTCCGGTCCTTTTATAACTCTTTGATACCTGTAGGAGGCTAATGTTTTATTTGAAAATATTTTATTTTTCTCTTTTGTTTCTTACAATATAATAAAAGTTTAGAGGGAACGCATTTTCTTTTTACTAAGTCTATGTATATATTTGTTTACTGTTCCTTACAGGTTAAAGACCATTTCGTGGAACTTCAGAAAACCGCTGCTGTTCTAAAAGAAGATGAACGGTTAAAGAGAACTACTTCCTTTAGAAGGTAACAAAAATGTATATATCACTTTAGAAAAACATTTTGAGCAGCTCAGTTTACTATAGCCAAACTGGAAGGAAATTATTTTCTATAAATCTACACATCTTCTATTATGCGAATACACCAGCGATTTTCAAACTTTGGAGACTCACAGAACCCTTGGAACCATAAGGTTTTTCCGGAAACCCCAGCTCATCCTTATAAAATTTGTCTTAAAATAACATTTAATTTCGATCAGTATGTTTTAGGTATTTTACGTAAAGACAGTCAAAGAAAGGTACCGTATTTTTAACTAAAAATATTAATATAAAATAATAATAAAAAAAATCTGAAGGCTTTCATATTTAACATTACGCCCAAAGGGGCGGTTTTTTGTTATTATTTTATGCGTTACCTTTATTTATTAAATATCACGTTCTTCGCACTTAAATCATAAAAGTCGATTCAACAGTAATGTTGCAAAATAAATTTAAAATGATCATATCTTTAGAATTTCCGATGCACAGTCTCGCGCACTGGAGATAATAATATTTTTTTTTTCGTACAGTATTGCTATTGCTCGCTTTGAATCATTGAGCTTGTTAATCAAAAATTCGTTAAAGTGTTACAAATATGGAATCGAAAATAAAACAAATTCCAAATTAGGGCTTCTGTATTTGAATAGAGGACTACGTTATTCAGAATTTCATGTTTGTAGGTACCGTTGTTTTTTTACAGTACGAGAAACATACATACATTGATGCACGTTCTTAATTATTTAATTTCTTTGAAGATAATACAAGATAATACATATTATAACTATAATAATATATAGTTGTTTTTGTGGTCAACAATAACTATCGCCCTGTGTTCCATCAATCTATCCAATCAAATCAATTATTGTATGTATGTAAAATGTATTATTGCAAAAAGTGCAACCGAAGTCATAAAGAACAAATAATTGATGCAGTAATTTGTGTAAGATTTACAGCCTAATATAAATAATAGGCTTAATAATTATTTTATACATTCGAAGGTTTTCAAGTTATGGTTTTTATTCTTTTTGTACTAGCCCAACTACAAATTACCCTTAAATTCTCATTTTCATTAAAGTGTTTCTCATGAAGGAAATTCAATGTTAATTCGTAGATTCTTGCATTAGGCTTAAAAACTAAACTAAAATCCATCTCCTGATTCCTTGTGAATAATGGGAAGATATTAGTATGTTTTAGTGTATTTTTAGTGGCTTGCGTTAACTACTAATCAGCATTTTATATTTACGAATGATGCTCAAAATAGATTTAAGCATTTTATTTACTCTTATTAAGATGATACTGTGTTAGAAAGAGTTTTCGTGGTTTTCCCCATGTGTAACGTGTATACGGTATACGAGCCAGTTTCCCTTAGAAGGTCATCCACGAAGGCATCCCTCCCCTTAGGCAGATAGCCCTAGTGTGCTTTGCCGTAATTAAATCAACCAACCAACCTGTATTAGAAAGAAAATAGCCACCGGCCCATTCATAGAAACTCTCCGACTCAATGAAGGCGACCGGTTTCCTTCATTGGGCCAGTGGCTCCTACATATGCGTAGTATGGAAGCTAATAGTTACGTAATTAAAATTTACAAAACTGTAAAATTGCTGAATTTGACGATTTTAAGGCTCATTATGTAAAAGTGGTCCATCGATAGAAACCTTCCCCTACGATGTTATCTGCAGTCGCATTTCGTAGCCTGACTTTAATTTGTTTCTACATTTCGATTTTGTTCCCACGTACGTTTCGAAAGTTTTTTTACTCAGATACGTTGCTCCGAATGGCATTAAAGTGTTTATAGCTGGGTGAGAATTTTAAAGGTATTCTGTAGGAATCTGCAACAGAAATTTAGGAGCTACTCTTACTTAAATTTAGATTTAAACTTCGAATATGTGTTGTAATGCTGTGACTTATCTCACTTCTGTGGCAGTAGTATCAGAACATGCCCACGAAATTCCTCGTGGCAAGGAGAGCAAGATTGTGCCTGTCGTTGGCAACAGCCTTGAGCACCATACAGGTGACAGTACGACTTCGCTCAGTTCCGCCCCCAATTTTGATGGAGAGCACCCGGGGGGATGGTTCCGAAGGTCTCTTATTCCCTCTTTCCCTACCAGCAACCTCTCGAGAGGACATTCGACTCGCCATATATTTAGAGTGCCGCATGCCGTAAAGACACTGTACATTTACAAACACATATGCCTTCTCCGGGATTGGAGCTTGGGCCTTTCGGTGGTCCAGCAGTAGGCTTCCCTGACAACTATACCGTCTGGGTATAAGTTGTTAACTATATAACTATACCGTTTGGGTAACCTCCTAACAACTATACCATCTGGGTAAAACTTCGAATATGTCAATTTGTCTATAAGTTTTTCCTCCACAGGCAAGCCTTCTGACTTATCGTAGCATTAGTTTTATTTAATAAGAATATTAAGAGCATTAGTTTTATTTAATAAGTTTTATTTAATAAGAATAGATAATAAACTATTAGTTATAGTTTTCTTCAACTTAAAAAGGTGCTGCATTATATAATTTTTAATACTGTAATCTAATTGTAATTCATTTTGCAAATTTTTCAGAATCAATTACTTAATGAGAATAACGTAGATAATATCCAAACCCTATTTAGCACAAGAGAAATATCATAAATTCCTGATATCAATACTGCTTTGAATAGCAGCCTCTCTGAAGCACTCAGAGGTGACTGACAACAGACTCATCCTGGCTTTCCAAACCGTGTTAATAGGGTATTTCACGAGCATCTGGAAGCTTCAAGAAAAATTGCTCCTAGGTTTCTTCTAAAATTAGTTTTCCCTAAACCTGCAAAGAAAAGGTCCCCAAGTTAGCGAAAAATTGACAAACGTAACCAATTTTCAATTAGCTACATTTGTCAATTGAAAAGCGAGATACGGAGGACATTTAGAAGCATTGTCCCCGTATCTCGCTTTCTAGTTGCGCTATTTTAACAATTTAAGCATTGCTAATTTAAGAATTGAAGAACTGCAATTTTTTACAAGAAATAAGCATTTTTTGCAAAACACGGGGCCCCAATTTTAATCACACCTAAAATAAATCCTAAACTATTACCTTAAATGCTAAAATTAAGCAAATAAATAAAACAATACATAATATCACAAAAATATACATAAGCTATAGAGGCATTAGGTAAATTTTGGAAGCAAGCAAGAGGATTAGCAACCGCCTTCGCCGGGAATCGAACTACGGACCTCTGGAATACCGGCCGAGCGTGCAGAACCACTACACCAGCAAGGCACGCCAAGAAGGTGGGAGAAATACCTTATAAAGCTATCAGTGCAGATAAATTTAAGCAGAAGTTTCAGTTTTGTGAACAGAAAGAGGAATTACAAGAATTACATTTTTTATCCAATATCTCCTAATAGTATTAACATAATATTATTGCATATATCTGATGCCACCAATCTGGTAGGACAGTTAACATTGGTAATAGGTTTTTCGAAGTGATGAAAGTGGGACTCTTTAACTTGAAACCTTTTGTCTCCTAATTCAAATTATCAGATTATAAGGTATTTCTCCCGCCTTCTTAGCTTGCCTTCGTGGTTTAGTGGTCAGCACGCCCGACGCGTATTCGGAAGATCCGTGGTTCGAGTCCCGGCAAGGACATTGTTCATTTTTCACTGCTCCAACATCCAAATAACGTAATTCTCTAGATTATCCTGACCAAGGGAAGCTAGTAAGTGATGCTATTCAAAAACTTTAGACAACAGCAGCTATCTGATTGCATGCCAGAAATCAACCTTCAAGAATACATAGAAATATCTATCTTACTTAGTTTAAGACAAATTCTTCGTTGATCAGTATAACGTGTCTTAAAACTTGATAGCTTCTTACCTCTTTTTCTTTTCCACCACAGAGCTGTTTCAGCCCAGGAGGTGAACAAAGCTCACGATCCCATCCAGCGCTGGAACAATCCTCAACGAGTGACGAACTATCCTCTGGCTCCTCCCAGTATGATCATTCGTCCTCCCCCCAGACAGAAGTCCTTGAACAGGAAATCCCTGTCATTGGACCACACTCTGATGGGGACCACTCACGAACAGAGGCTCAAGATCTGGGAATCGGAGGGAGAAAGCGTAACGTCCACACCGGCCGGAAGCCTCTTAAGCCTTGGAGGCTACGGATACGAAACTGATTCCTCCCTTCCAGATTCTGAATACAGGTGTGTAACTACTTGTTCCATCTAAATTAAAACAAGAGTTGCTTTAAGCAGTTTATTCCTTTTATAGAAGATCATAATTACGAAGACACTAGATTCCAGAACATTTACTAGGTCACTAATACTGAGCGCTTCTTCCTAAGTTTACGCGTACTAGCACTAGAGTAACAAAAATACTCCCTTGACAGGTACTACAACTTTAATAGCAGTTGCAACTTTTCCAAGCAATTCAACTAAGGTACCAGAAAACTGAGTCACGTAACTCCCTACCCAGTTTAAGCCAGATAGTACTACAACAACTGAAAATCAACATTAGAAAAATAGCTCACCCCGTACAATAGCAACAGGACTGTCAGAGCAAAAATTATTGTAATGTAAGCTTATTACAATCCATTTTGTATGTAAACTGCCCTACCCAAAATGGGACAGTTCTATATCTACCGTTCTACTGGGCCAATTGACGAAATTCAAATTGAGTTTTCCATGTCTCGAAAGCGCGACTTAGGATATATATCAGATTTATACATAGCATTGTTCTAAGATAGGTATTTTGACACAAAGTAGGACTTTTTCTGAAATGACATTCCAATTTTTCTCCATATTTCGATTCTACGACTCAATTTGTGCCAAACTGCCACGTTTTGTAAAACTTGGACGGGTAGCTTTTAAAAAACAGTTATAGATTTCAAAAAGCAGTTTTAGCTCTCGAAATTTTATCTTCTCGCTGTCAATTCAATTTGGTTTGTGTTTATTAACATCTCTTTTATTATTATACTAACTTGATTCCTTCTTTCACAGTTCGAAATTTAGGTTCATTTCAAATAAAATTCGTCCATTTTTTATGATTTATATTTTAAACTTGTATTTTTAAATAAATAAAAAAAATTTTGTGAAAAAATTTTCAATGATAACCTACACAATTGTTATCATCATTTTAAAGTATATGTATTTCTAAGCAAACCTACTGCAAAAAATTAGAACTTTTTATTCCAAATTTACGAAGGTATACGTGAAGTTATATATTGGCGCGTTTTGAAATTTGGCTTATTTGTTGAAAGCGATAATAACATCTAATGTATTTTACGCAACTTTGTTAAAATTACTTGTAGGAACGAGTGATTTTTTTTCGTTCATGCACAATGTAAAAAGGGAAAATAAAATAGGTTGCTATAAAGTAAGAAGTTCGCCAAGTGAATTATTTTTGGCGCAAACCAAAAAAAAATAGGCGAAGATAAATTTTTGAATTTCTTCGTAAATTTCGCATCATATTTTACGAAAGTTAATGTTTAAGCATAATTTGAGTCGTAGAACCGGAATATAAAAAAACTTTGGCATGGTATTTCAGAAAAAGTTCGATTTTGTGTCAAAGTACCTATATTAAAACAGAGCTATATATAATTCAAATTTATATCCTAAGTCGCACTTTCGAAATATGAAAAAGGCAACTTGAATTTCGTCAATCGACCCAATAGAACGGGAGATATAGAACTGTCCCATTTCTTGGGGGGGGGCAGTGTATTTGCTAGTTACGAACTGAATTCGGAAAACTTCATATCTGATGAAAGCAGCCTTTCTGTGCTGTCTTTCTAAACAAAAGGTTCTCAAAAAGGCAGAAATTTCATGCTTTTAAAGGAGGAATGCGGTCAGCTTTTTATTTACTTGAGCACCATATAGGTGACAGCCTGGCTGTAGCTCAGTTCCGCCCTCAGTTTTGAAAGAGAGCAGCCCGGAGAGGTTGGTGGTAGGGCAAGAGAGGTGATTCTCTCACCTCTCTTGCCCTACCACTAACCTCTCGAGAGGATTTCTGGCTCCCCGCGTATTTAGAGTGGCCCCATGCCGCACAGTCTAATGAAAATAAAATTAAAATGCAATAAACAATAATGAATTTTACATTTACAAGCATCCATGCCTTCACCGTTATTCGAACCCAGGCCCTTTGGTACGGCAGTCAGTGTTACTAAACACTATCCCATTTCGGCTGATGTTAATTATTTAGTTTTATTTTGGTAGAGCCATTAGGTTTTTCTTGATGCAGGAGACGTGAAAACTGTGCAGTGCCGTAGCCGGGATTCAAACACTGGACTTCCCGAATAGGCGAATTGTGCTTCCAGTTACATCCCGAAAACATGTGGGAAGGAGAGGAAAATGCACTACAGTTTATGAATATAAAAAATTACTTTTATTCAAGTTGTGGTACTTATCACCATTTTCTATACTTTTTCTTGTTTATTTTATGAAGCGCATAAATAATCTAAACTTAAATAAGTATGTATTTGTATTTTTCGGGTCTTGGAAAAAGGGGTGAATAGTAATCTAGTAATGGTGAAAGAGGTGCTTGGGGGCAAAAAAGGTTGAGAACTAATGTTTTAGAAGGTTTGGGTTATATAATTTTGATCTGAAGGCTTTTAGAATGAAGAAAATTACTAATTTGTTTAGCAGTAACCTTTTTAATAAGAAATGGATGATCTTTTATTTTCCATTAAGCAAAAAGTTAAAATTTTTAGCTGGGAATTCCAGAATCAGCAATTTTGGTAAAAAAGGTTTTGATTTTAAAAAAGAGCACTTGAAAGCAACTAGAAAAATAACAGCATTCCTCGCTGAAATGTCGTATAACAAAGTAATGAAAAGAAATTACTGCAGATATTGCCAGATTAACGTTAATTAAAAGTAGTCTTAACCAGCACTTTTAAATTTATCTTTAATGGATTTAATTTTAGGTATGGTGGCATCAGTCAAGACAGGAGGAGATACCGTGTCCAGACACCAAGTGGCATGACGACGGACAGTGAGGCCCCTATGTCTTCCAGAGAGGGTAGTGTGGATCCGGGAGGTAGCACAGAAAGTGTTCCAATAGCAGCACAACAACACAGAACAACTTTAAAAGAAAAACTGAAAATGCTGCGGTAAGACTGAATACTTCAAAATAAATATTTTCAAAATGTATTCCAAAAAATGTCTCAAGTTCTTTATTTCGATTCGATATGTCTTCAGAATAAGTTTCAATTCGAAATATCTTGACAGACGAACCAAAAGCATCGACGTTGCAAGCGGGCGTAAAATAGGCGCAGACGATTCTTCCAAGAACGCCAAAGAAGAAAAAGAACAGAGTCTTCGATCAAAGATATCTAAAGTCTTGAAGAAACCTTTAGGAAGGAGCTTCAGTGACTCACATAAGTCTGCACCTGCTTTGCCACCAAAAGGTGCTGTGCCTGATGTCATACCAAGTAGACCAACAGCAGAGGTAAATACCATTCTTTTTTAATATTTAAAAAAAACATATTTTAACTTAAAGATTAATGTTAATAATAATTAATTTACGTAATAGTTACCTTAGTATTCCCTTCCTTTTACAGAATGTACTACGTGGGAATATTTTATCAATTAATTGTCAGTTATAAAAAATGCAGTTAAAGCAAATTATTATTAAAGCATCTGAGCAAAAATGGCGATGCCTATATCCAATGCTAACTATAAATCTAAGAACGTCATCTAAATTCTGCATATAGCGGTTACGAAGTAATTCTACTTTAAAAAATTCTCCATTTAGTATTAAAACGAATTCATTTAAATATCACAAACACAAAAATCTAATCTCAAGAATCTAAGATTCTCTCAAACAATCTCAAGATTCGTTTGAATTAAGTCAGTTGGTGAACCAACTTTGGTGTCTTTTTACCGCGTGTGACTAAAACTTAACTTTTAATTTTGCGCTCCGAAAATTTTGTCTTCCTACCCGTTGGTTAAATTGTTTGTTTTGGCGCACAGTCTCTAATTTAGTTGTAAAAATTGTCTTTTTAATTCTTCTTAACTGAATATGGCGTTTTAGTTTTTTCTGTACTTTACAAATTTTATTAAAGATGATTTCAGTTTTTATGTATTTTTTGCCTTTTCGCAAAGCGAGAACTGAATTGATTAAATGAGAAATATATCTCTAATAAAATTAGAGGAAATAAGTTTAAATGAAGTGCAACAAAAAATGTGTATAATTTAATAGGCCGTACAAAGAAGTCATTTGATGTCCACATCAGATTGTTTTCATTTTGTTTTTCAGAAACCATTATCAGCGAGTCGAGGAGAGTTGAGCACTCGGAGGCCTGCTTCCCAGCAAAGCAAGAGGCCGCAAACACCTTCAAAACAAAAAGTGGAAACTCCAGTTTGAGAAATGAACCTTTTTATTCCTTACACATTTATATTGACCTCATGTAAACAATAAAATACCCTTTTTCTTGTTGTTTGTGAGACAGTCATTCATTCAAGCAAATAGAATGCTGAATTCGTTTCCTAAAAATTAAAGTATTATATTCACTTATCAGAGAGAAATTCAAAAGTATGCATTCAAAATTATACGCGATTTAATCAAGCTCCCAAAATTTCTTAGGATTCAGGTTAGCTTATTATTTAATTATAAGCGGAAAATTTACTGTGAAAGAGTAAGAGGATAGTTAATGTTTACCTCTTTCGCTTCAGTAGAGATCAAAATCTGCTTACCTGAAACATCTGAAACGTCAGTATATGTACATCGTGGACCTTATAAGAAATAGACTAACCCAAACGGGTTTTCTCCCTCGTCTGAGGCGTTGCCGGCTGTCACCTTGATCACATCCGGAGGAGTAGGGACGACTTGCAGAAATTTAACAGTGGTTGCCTATTGCAGCGTGTATAATTGTCAAGAAAAAGCTGGTTGTAGCGGCTCATTACACAAATTAGAATTTTTACATATTTTTATTTTTGAAATTGAGATTGATTTTTAAGAATTTAGCTTATTTATCAAGCATAATTAACGTTCCAAATAATTATAAAGCTATTGCATACTTTCAGGGCTGGATATTTTTTAAGTTTTTCCTATGCTGTAAGGAAATTTGTAACTACTTCTTTTAGAAAATAATATTTTTAATCTGAACTAATAGAAAATTTCAAATAAGCAATTTTCTCTTGCAATGTTTATGCTTTTTATTGGTGTAAATAAGTAAAAAGTACTAAAATATTTAAAAACGAATTTTTTAAAGTTTTGTTTAAAATTCTAAATTGTGCTGCTTTTTTAAAATTATAGATGAGTATAATAGCACAATTTCTATAAAGGAATTTTATTTCAATTATATTTCATAATACATCATAGTGATAAGCACTTTCGACTCCTTAATTTTTATACATTTAATTCTAATATTAAAATTATATTTAACCGTAATAATTAATTTTGTTTGTATTTTATAGTGATTATTTTTTAAATTTATTTTTAGTTCTGCGTAAGATTTTTTTTATTTACTGTTGATTTAATTTATTAGCCCAAAGCGGCGGTAACCTGGAAAGGCTGTTAGTTTCAAAGCGGCATTTTGCGCTGTTTTACTATAAGTGTCCGTGTTTCTTTTCAAATTGTTGTTACCAAATATTATCGCCTTGTATTATATGTAAAGAAATTAAATAATGAAGAATCTGCATGAATACATGTATGTTTCTCGCACTGTGACAAAAACGACAGTATCTAGAGCCACCAAATTTTGTATAATGTAATCCTTCACCCGAACATGGGCATCTGGACAGCCGAATTTCGAATTTGTTTTAATGTATTTCATATTTTGTGAAACTTTAACGAAATTTTTATTAACAAACTCAACGAGTTCAGAGCGAGCACTGTACGGAAAATAGCAGCTTTATCTCCAGTGCGGAAATACTAAAGATATGCTGTTTTCAAATGTATGTGGTTTACGGGCAAAGAACTTGATATTCAATAAATATAGGTAACACAAAAAACTTTAAAAAAAAGGTTTCTTTTGGGCGTAATATAAAATCTGAGTGCTTCTAGATTTTATTTTACCTTCTTTTTTTCCCCTTCATTACGCTCAGAAAATTTTATGCTCCGAATTTTATGAATTATTAAAATAACAAATCTACTTTAATGTTAATAATTTAATGATCATATAATCAAATAAATATGATAGTTTTGTAATGTTATTATAATTTGGAAAATCACTGCCTGAAAATGATCATTAAATTAATTTTTTTTATCAGATCTTGTTTAATTCTACCTTATTTATTTCAAAGCATCACGTACTATCAATCTTATTTAATTCTACTTTATTTTTAAGCAAAATTAAGTTCATAAATTTTGTGCTTAGAGTTTTACCGTTTTACCAAAGTAAAGATGTTTGTACAAGGATTACGCGTGAAAAAAATGCGCGAAATGCAGTAAAAAGTGCTTTAATGAGATATATTAAATCCTATTTGAAAAAAAACTGTGGCTTTCATAATCTCATCACTATACAACGTATCACATTTAATAATTAAAAACAGTTATGTGATACAAACACCATAGGTTTCAATGTTAAAGTAAACCAGATCGTCCCTACTCTTTCTTGCCGACATGTCGGTGACGCGCGCCCCGCCCACTGGGTTAGTCTATCTCTTATAAAGTCCATGATGTACATGCGAGAAAACTAACTGTTTGATTTTGTGTCGGAAAGGATTTTCGTCCTCCAACCCAACTAGAATGCTACAGTGTTAACTATAACCTACTTAACTCGCGAGAACACGCGTCGGGCCTGCGAGGCCCGGTCGTTACAAAAACGTCATACAAAAATTTCTCCCGTTGGTGAAATTTTTCGACCTTCTCAGTAGCTGCGTTTAAGATCATGTACTTGTCATTCACAAGCATTTCTGGAATTTAACCGTTCATCTTTTCTCAGAAACTGAGTAACCGGGCTTCCCTGGCCCGAGGCGTGCGCTCGCATTGTCATTTAAAATTGTGAAAAATGTGAAAGATATAAGGCAGTTGCAAAAAGGTCTTGCTATTTGAGTTATGACTATGAAATGAAAAGACTACAGAAACTATTAGCCAAAGTGTCGACCGATAAAGATACAATTAATGAAGAGGACGAAGAAATAGTTGGTGAAGAGTTGGTGAAGAGCAGTTTAGTGATCACCAATCGAATTCTGAAGAGGCATTAACTCAAGTGATGAATCTAGTAATGAATTAAGTAATTTTGTGTCCGTCAGGGAATCGTTATCTTGGTAAATGTAATGTGATAAAATGGAATAATAATAATAAAAAAAAAGAGTGTTGCTGTGAGAACTCTTGCTCACAACATTGTGAACAAATGTTTGTGAAACTAAATTTGTGTCCTCCACTATGAATTCTTGGCAACTACTTATGGATGAAATAATAGTAAAAATTCTAGTAGATTGTGCAAACATTTTATATCAAATCCATTGCCGTCAAATTTGGAAGATAGAGAAATGCTAGACACACAAATATTACAGAAATCAGAACATTTATCGGTCTTTTTTTATTTTGGAGGACTCCACAAGGCTTCTCACGTAAATGTTCTCGACCTTTGCATGACTGACGGAACAATGCTTAACATTTTTCATCGAACAATGTCTAACAAATGTTTTTTATTTCTAATGAGATGTTTGAGATTTGATGACATAAGAGATCGCTTTTCTAGAAGGGAAATAAATAAACTGGCTCCGATAAGATATGCCTTTGGAAAGTTCGTTGAAAATTGTAAAAACGTTTACAGTCTTGGCGTAACGGACCGAAAATGACAAATTTGCAGCGAGAAAAATATTTGCGGTAAACACAGCACGATTATTTGCAAAAGAAAAAAAAATGTGAAATGAAAGTTTTATTTTGAAATTATTGCTGTAAAAATTTAATATGGCATAAATTAGTACTAAATTTCATTTGCGCTCAAAACGAAATCAGTTTAATTTTTGTTGTTAATGATAAATAATTTGTCTTAAAATTGTTTTAAAATACAATTTTATTAGACTTATTAAATTAAGAGTATATTTTTATATTTTATACACTCTGTTTTTATTATTTAGATGTTTTTCTTCACAAGCAATTTTATTTTTGTTTTGTTGAGAAAAATGCTTCGGGCCTACGGAGCCCGCGCTCGTCCTCGCGTAGCTAAAAGTAGCGCGCGACTTCGCGGGTTAAGTGAGGTGATTACTTCTCTTTAGGGTATTATTGCGCGGTTTCACTCACTGTGTGCGCTTTCTCCTTAGAATAGGATTGCAGTTGCAAGCATCAATAACTAAGCTTCGATGTTTAATAAAGGAGAAGAAAGGTTCATTCAAATAACAGAGCTACGTTTAGTCGCCTGAAAAGAATGATTGGCGTATCATTTACCCACTCCAGAACCAATGAACCATGCACTAATGTGATGGAGGAAAGCATCAGGTAGAAAATGGACGCTGGCTTTCTGGTGATGTGAAACAGTTAGGTGAAAGCCTATGCCTTCTTTTTACTGCAGCAAAATGAACAGAACGACGGTTCTCCAATTTATGAAGATTACCATTAACAATGAAAATTCCATACAGTTATCACCAAGTTCACTTGTTGAGTTTCATACCATTATCATCAAGTTCGCTTGTTGAGTTCCACACCATTATCTCCAAGTTCACTTGTTGAGTTCCATATTATTATCACCAAGTTCACTTACTGAGTTCCATAATATTATCATCAAGGTTACTTGTAGAATTGCGTATCATTATCACTAAATTCTCTTCTTGAGTTCCATACCATTATCATGAAGTTCACTTGCTGAGTTCCATACTATTATAATCAAGTTCACTTGTAGAGTTCCATATCGTTTTCACTAAATTTTCTTCTTGAGTTCCATACCATTATCATCAGTTTCGCTTGTTGAGTTCCATATCATATTTCTACGAAGCACGAAACGAAGAGAATAGGCACCTCTGCTTCGTCCTCTTGCAGGACTGAAACATTTCGAAAATAACTCTTGAGGAATATAAATATATACTATGTACTGTAATGCCAAGCATTGAAGGACTATGTGATAAGTTGTAGATCTATTCTATGGACCTGAAAAAAGAACTGCATCCCAAAATATTACATTAAATGTATGGCGCAATGTCAAGAATGATTTCTCACCTGAATTTGATCTGCTGATTTCTCACCGAATGATCAGTGCAGACATTAACAATAAAATATTGCATAGAATTAGACTACTCCTGACAACGAAGAGTTCAGAACACATCAAACAAAGGTGCTTCCATCATCACCTCCGTAACCTCCGGCTTAATGATATTATTATTTTGGCAAAGGTTATTGGAATTTTTTTCAGAAGTCTGGAACGAACGCAAGGTATTTGATATTATTATTTTGGCAAAGGTTATTGGAATTTTTTTCAGAAGTCTGGAACGAACGCAAGGTATTTCGCTGGACTTGCTCCTTCATGAGTATCATGTTGTTCCACCATTACGAAA